AAAGCGCCTTCCTCCCAATCTACTGCAGATTACTCTCATTATCGGTAAGAGAAATTGCACTTTCTCTGAATATTACAATACAGATCCGACCCAGTCGGTAATGCAGTTGACAAAATTTCATTGTTGACGGATGGTAAATCTTGGGTAACGTGTTTTATACAGTTACTGATGCCAGATATTTACCAGTAAAAATGCGCATTGTCGATCTCCTCGCGATATTTATCTTCAACCATTAATCGGGCTAGCCGTTGATAAAGAAGTGATGGAAATAAATGCTCAAAGAGACCCAGGGAAAATGTGGACAGTAGGTCTACGAATACGTGGTTTTGTTCTTAACGTTTATCGATTAGCCTTCGATTGTTTGGCCATTACCTTTTATTTTTAGAAAACCCCGGCCCTGTCGTTGCCCCGATAGCCCGAGTTTTCTAATTGAAAATTTACCCCTTACTGAAGCATTCGCTAAGACTCAACCCCACAAGCTAATCGTAAATTGCACAAGCGTTGAATTGATTCTCATTGAATTTCTTATTGGGTATTTAGTTTATTCAATGGAAACAGTTTTTACTTGATTCATCATTTATTTTATCCGGTTCATGTCGTATGGCTCTCGGGGGATTTCTCATGGATGTGAGTAACGTCCATCGTTGCCGTTGTGAACAGCAACCAGAGAAATGTATCCCGTTATGACCTTTGATCTTCACCGTAGCGACCGCACACGGTCGAACCGTCACTTCTGGCTGAATTCACGATCGTTTTCGCTTCGGAAATATAAATATTTTCAGTTTATTCGAGGGTCGCAATACTTTTTTTCATCGACTCAAAACCACTGCAAAGAAAAATATGCACTTGCTAGCTATTCGTTTACTGCGAGGAAGTATTTAACCGTTTATTACCGTAGTCCTTCAATCGAATCTTTCCAAGGCATGTCTAGTAATTTTCAATCGCGAGAATTATGTCGCTCTCAAGGATCATCCTCGAGGGTAACATCATCATGATAATAAAAAGCTAATCAGAATCGTCTTTCGATAATACGAAAGTGGAAATATGAATATTTCTCTCAAGGAAACGAATATCTGGCAAAAACATTTTTTTTAGTGTAGGTCTGAGACTGAGAGGAATTAATTTCTTCAACTGAATTTTGTTGAGACAATTCAAATTTCTTTTTCAAAATTTCAATACCATTTTCGTTTAATTTCTTGGCTGACAGATATTCAGTGGGCATGAATATATTTACTTCGGGGGGTAGCTGAGTTAATTGATGCAGACGTTTTACTTTGAGACGAATATGTCAGGGGTTTTCTCTCTTATTTTGGTTCTTATTTATCTCAGTTTCTCGTGCTTTTCCGAAAACTTTTGCTGAGGTCTGATCATTCATCTTCCCCCATCCCTGGTTCCAACCGTTTCTGCAACATCCAGAATAGTTTCTAGGCTAGGAGGAATTACTCCGGAGCTTCATAAAAAAAAAATCGAAATCTCCTAATTCATTGATGCTCAGGGAAATACATTTTTTTCGGGATAATGTGAATTTTTGAGGGAAGTTTTATAGTTATTTCGGTGAAAGCCTGGGTGAGGTAACCCTTTAACGAAATATATTAAAAGATTTTTATAACAACGTGACCCGATTATTGATATTTCGTTGAATATATCACATAAATTTAACATGCGTTTTAATATAAATTCTAAAAACTAGAACATTAAAAACGGTTTTTCATAAATGTCGATTGAAGGGTAAAAAGGGCAACAGTAATTTCCGAGTTTAATTTCTCTAAAAAACGTGAAAAGAAAAAAAAATCCAGTTACTCTGAATTATCTCAAAGGATCGGATGTTCTAATGACGACGATCCTTCGACATTTCCGTGTCACTTGTTACAAATTCAAAAGTGCACGGGAGATTAATTCGGTAAAAAATTCAGTAGCTAAATCCTCGTACACGGTGAGTGCAGTGTGAGAAGTTTTATTACAATGCGTCTGCTGAAGAGAGGGGTTGTAGGAATGTGGAGAATAAGAGCAGAGTGAGGGTGAAGAGAATAAGAAAAAAATAAATAAATAAATGAATAAAAGGGGAGGAAAAAGATGTGTTGGTAGGAATTTTTGGGGGAGACGAGTCGACGGACTCAACTCGACTCGGGGGCGCCTGCCTGCCACTGCTGCCCGCCGCCGTGAATCAATACCCGCATTGCGCGTGCCACCTCTCTCTCTCTCACACATCCTCTCTCCTTTGCTGTACTTTGTCTCTTTTCCTCCCGCCTCCCCCCACTGTACTCCCTCTCTTTCTCCCCTTTCCTCTCCTTTTTCCTCCACCATTGTACTTTATCTCTCTCCGGCACACAATTTTCTTCACCCCGTACTTTATCCCTCTTTGGCTCTCTCACTCATTGTACTTGATTTCTCTCAGTCTCACCCTCTCATGACTGGTTTCATCGGAGCGTCGCCCGTTGTATGCCATTTACCATCACACATTTTCCCTTCTACATCGGCTACAACCTCGTCAGTCCCTCGTTCTCGTTCCATCACGCGGGCCCTTTACTGTAGGGAGAGGGCTGGGGAGTAATAGGCAGACAGCCGCAGGAGCGAAAGTGATGAGCATGGGACATTTCTAGGGGGCAATGAGAAACGCAAAGGGTGCAAGACTCAGGGAGGGGAGGAATAAATATGGAATTGAAGGGCTCGGAAATAGGTCAGGATGAATCAGACAGCTGATCTATTCGATGGGTATTACATATTTTGGAAAATTGAATGTTTGGAAAATTTTTTAAACGAGTAGGGATCGGAGGGGGCGAGAAAAGGGATAATGAATGAAACCATTTTTTATTTTCAAATCCATGGGTTGGAATTCTTCATTTCGATTTTTTTCGTATATTTGTCTGCCTCTCGTCTTTCTAATATCAGCTACGCGGCCGATTTAAATCATATAGATTGTTTGGCGGAAAACCTCGATTTTGGAGAAGAAGCATTTTTCCATAGCTTCGAGGTCTGATCTATGATTTTTGGAGAAGGAAAGTTACTTTCTTCCTAAATCGAGGGTTTTTTTAGCGATCAATCGTTGGCTTCCGTTATATTTTCTCGCAGATAATGTTGCAATAATAAAAAAATAATGAAAGGGAAAATGGAAAAGCTATTTGCGACCCCCAGAAGAGCGGGGATGAAACGAGCGAGAAACATGTTTGATTAACACTAACTTTGATAATACTCAAGTGTAGTCTAGAAACCTCAAGGTGTTAATGCATTAATATTAAGTCTATAGGGAATATACTTCATGTTGCGAAACCACCGCGCTGTCACCTCAACTCATGACGGATTATCGTTGTCAGTTTCACTCCTCAAGTTTAGTTTTTCAATTCAATTTATTTATCACACACGTGTCTGGAGGCGAGGCAATAAAAAATGTCGGCTCAAGTTTTTTTTTGCGACTTCAGGCACGTGTGCACCCTTTCTGCAACTTCTCCGGTTGTTTTCATTGCGTGGGCTGAAGGGAATGCCGTGGTCACACGGGGGTAATGAAGCGGTTCATTTTCATTGAGAACTTTATTTTATTGAATTATACATATTACATGACCGTAAATTGCGGGTATTGCACTGTAGTGGGATAATATGAATGAATTAACAAAAAATGCACTGGGAAAAAAATTTATGACATAAAAACATAAAAATATTTGCAACACGATATTATTATTTTCATTGACATATTTTCATAGAATTTGTCTTGGAAAAGCATTTCCATTTTTACGTCCCCCAGTGTCAATTCAAAAAATTTTCATATGGCGTCCAAGAATAATAAACTAGTATAATTAATGATAAATAACAAATTCAAGAGCGCTTATAGAGGAAAAGATAAATCGTTAATTTTAAGTTGATTAACTTTAACGGGGTGGGATGTCATATCCGTCAAGTGGATAATATTTGTTAATTTTTGTTGGAATAAAAAAGTTGGGGCTGGTAAATTTTCAGAGTTATTTCCGCTTCGCGGTTGGGAGGGTAATTTTTATGGGACTTTCACGGTAATTATTGTGAAATTTTTATCTCCGTGTGTGAATTGGGCGTTTCAACCTCGGAAATTCCCTTATCAGTTTGGGTAGAGCACTCTGGAGTGATTCCATCGTCGTGAGAGTGAATTGATCACACGTCGACACGTAGAATCGACAGAGTAAATCGATTATCCTTCGCTTCTATCCGTTACGTAATTAGATTAGATCGGTGGAAGTACGTCAGCCCGATGCTCTCATGTCCATCTACACGTGTATATTCATTGGCTTTTCCCTACTCCATAGTCGTGATTCGCCTCATTGTTTTTGTTCTCTCTCATCAACGGTAATTTATGCTGGAGATTTAATTGAACAGAAAATACGGAGCATCAGTGTGTGAGACGGTACTGTAGGGCGTGGACCCATCATTCGTTATTTATACGAGTGACGTGACGTCATTGGCTCGGTCTTTGATCGATCAGTCGAATGATCCGATTAAAATCACGAATGTGAGAATTATTCGTTCGGCTCAGAAATAGTCTCAGCGTCCCGCCGATAATTTATATATAGAGACATGTGGCGCAAGTGGAAGACCGGACATACACCCAGAAAAATCCTTTATTTCAATCAAATAAAAAATCATCCTTTTTGTTTTATTTATCTATTATTTAATAAATCCTGCTGTTAAAGATGATAACTTATCTGTTTCATCCCAGAATTATCATTCACACAAAATAAATTGCGAGGGGTTATTCACTTGTGAAAAAAAAAATTCCATGAAACCATCTGAAATCATGAGTAATCTCTTGAAATCTGTGAAGTCACTTGTC